AAAAAAATGAATACATGGATATGCCCAAAATATGTACAGAAAAACACCTATTTTAATATATACCCGAAATAATAAAATGAAAGCTATTTGCAGTGTAGTGTAATGTTCTTAGAAGTGTTGAGTCACTTGAATTAGTAGATACATTACAACTTAATCTACGGAAGGACTAGACAAGCACGACATCGGTCACCACTTGGTGATCAATCAAATATTTACTATATCAGGTTAGTGGATTGAATATTGCCTTGAAATAAACACAACTATGAATAAAATTGCGTGTTATTTCTTCAAAAGACTGTTTATCTCTCACTGTTTTCCATACTCGTTTGCAAGCCTGCTAAATGTAATAATAGAATCGAAGCACATCTTTTCTTGTGAACGTTATACTACTCGTTGATAATGAGTAGTTCAACTGTGTTCACAACTATGCAGGGTTTGTGCACTATGGTTAGTGAGGTTTTTGTTGCACGAAATCACATATCATGTTTATTTATTTTGGTATTCTGTTGTCTTGAGTTGTTTAATTATCTTTCATAGTGTTTGTATCCCCTCTTATATTTTGGTATTTATTATGCCTCCCATCATTTTTAACACTGTGTCTATTTTCGAAACAAAACTTGATTTATTTCCATCAGTTCTTGAGATTTCTGTTAGACATTGGGTTATTCTTCTGATTTGAATTCTTTGACTGATGATAAATCCATGAGATTATTGATATCTTAAATGATGATAATACTTTAGTCCTGATAAAGTCATGAATGCTACTATAGGCTATCTTTTTATTTTAATTGTAACGAATAAATTCTAGTAAAACTGAGCATCAAGAAATCTGATACATAAAACAAGTCTTTTAGAATTATTTTGTCTATACATTTAACTGGGAATATCTGTTTTTATAAAGGATATATGGATAATATTATAGCAATATGTGGCGAGATTGAAGATGATACATGTTTAATGGAAGTGAGGAACATGGTACACAAACTAACGTTCTTGTGAAGATGGAAAAAACGTCCGCTATCTTTCTTGGACATACTCATTATTTCAAGGGTGAACGGATCAGTCAGTCGTGAGTAGATAAATACCTCAATTAGTTCAAATATGTTTCACTATTCTGCTTATCAGTAATGAGTGGTAATTAGGAAGTGTCTGTAATGGACAAGAACAATAATCAAATTGCTCGAGAATATTCTTATTCCCAGACCCATTTTAAGACTGTCGATAAATTATTAATTTGCGCTGGATTGATAAGGATTTGAAGAGTAGAAGTTCAGAGTGAGGAATAGAGAACGAAACCCACATCACAAATAATTTTGGAAAAGTGTGAGCATTATTAACATTTTACTGGGATGCATACTCATTTCATCTGATGATAGAAAATTCAGAAGAATAAATAAATGAGGTTATAAATCGTTATTGGCTAAAGTGATCGGGATACGTTAGGTATGCCGGACAATCGCATAACTTAATAGGTAATGTTTGCTGGTGTAGGAATTAAATGGAAAAAAGTTAGGTCTCCTCAAACCCAAATGTGGCATGAATTTATAGATACATTGACTGGTGGTTTGATCCATGTTGGGAAGTGTATTTAATCCGGTTGAGGCCAGAGTAATTACTAAGATCAGTGGTTGGAGATATTTGGTGATATGTCTCAGAATCGGTCACAATTGGGTAGACATATTCACTCTTCATCTTACTCTAGTTCTTGAGCTGTACCATCCCTTTTTATACATAATTTTTCATCCTGTATTTTCGGACCACATCTTCAATGTCTAACCTTTATCATTATCATTATATTATTTCGATTCCTTTGCTATCAGTTTGTTCATTTCATCTTATCGTACTAACATCAGTCGGTTATACACAACATCAATTCCACCTGCAGCTCTTCTAGGGTTACTGCTTGTCCCAAGCCCGGGTAAAGAAGGAGAGTTGGGCATAGGGTCAGAAACCCCATCCCGTAGAAAACAACCTTGCTAAAAAAACGCTAAGTAATACGCAAAATAGGACCTTGGATATTGCTCATCGGTTCAATATTACCAATATCAACAGAGTGAGATGGTAGAGTGGTGTAAATAGTAGTAATATTGGTGGCAGTAGAAAAGATTGGCCATAGAACAAAGTCGGAAGCAAAATATGGATTACAGAAGTAAAAACGTTTAGGAGGTAATTCAGAAACTTAAGATTTAAAGGAACACAAAGAATGAATGCACCGATGCCATTGCTACCGATTGTGAGCCATGCCATCCAGTCTTTGAACATTGACTGTGACAATCATGAGGACCTCACCCAAGAATTTTGCGTCTACTTATATGACTGAGTCCAACAGTTAGTGACTCCACAGACGTTTAGGTTTGGTCAGCACTAGCTTTCTTCCGGCTTGTTCTTACACACACAAACATTGACTATCGAGGCAAGTGATGGTTCATTATGCGTGACACATCTCAATCACGATAGTAGATGAAGATTCACTACCTTATCAACCGATTTACCATTTTTACCTAGTACTCTGGGTTTAACCTCAGCATTGCTCACCTGATGATGCCTACATACACTAGCAATACTTCCAAGGCATCTACGATAAAATACTAGTAACCTATGAATATCCTTGATTTTTAAAAGCCAAGGTTCATAGCCATCAATCAAGACAGGAAACTATTGTGCAATATACCCGTTTTCTGGTTGGCAGACGAACATCTCGCATACGCCACAACCGATGAAAGTTGGTAAAAGTCAACCGAGTTTTTGTCATAAACTGACCCATTGTAGCTGACCATAGCTCTAAGATAAGCGAAGTGTCTAACAGGCTCATCCACTTCACTTACTATAATCAATTTAGGGGTAGATGCGTACCAGCCTTGAAGGTGTGCTTTTCCTTTAGAGGGAGGAAAAGGCATTCTAAACGTGTTTGTATTGTTAGAGGACTTTTCATTTGGTCAGGGTCTTCACAAAAACAGGACAGTAACGTTTGGGTATTTTGAGTCAAGTGAACCTGCCGTTAGATCAACCCCCTTAGAATGTTATCTTTAAAAGAATGTCAATGAAAAAGTTGAGTAAAAATGGAGAAAGTGGTCAACCCTGAAGAACACTAACTCCGGCAACGATTTGCTGTCATGTGATTCTAAGGGTAGTAGTGTTCGAGTAGAGCATGTACAAACTTAATGTACTTCTTAGGTATGCCTTCAATGATAGATACTGCCATTAAATCCGGCCGATCTATGAAATCAGATGCAACCTTAGGATCAAGAAATACAACTATAGTTAGGAGTCTGGAGGTATGCTTGTTTCAGAGCCTGACGAATATCTAGTCTATACATCCGCGTCGAGGACTGAAACCAGCCTAGTTTTTACGAGTTTATCCTTAACAAGCCTTAGCCAAGATTTGAATGGTTATCCAGCCTAATATTTTAGATACTACTTTAGCCAAACGAATTATTCTGTGGTTGTCACGAGGATTTTTGCCTTTCTTATATGCTAGAACGACCAGCGATCGTGACCAGTTAGGTAGTGTATTACGTTCAATTCTCAGACTCTGGTTAGTATATCAGCCAACCTAACAGATACAAGTGGACCAATCCATCAGGGCCTAATATCTTCTCTTGCTTTAGATTAGTTATAGCTTCCCCAACTTCCTTAAGAGATCGGGAGTTTATGTTGTCAGTCAGTCAGCTACAACGTAAGACCAGGCACATATGTGCACCGTTCCAAGTTGTCATACCTCATTAGCACAACAAGATGAATACCAAATTCATAGAAGCAGTTACTTCAGCGGTAGTAATATATAGAAGATCGAGTATAAAAATATGATACAGGGAGAAAGAATTTTTTTCGTAGGAAGGAAAGTATACAGTAATTTTAGTCTCACGGTTTAAGGGAGGACAAATAGCGTATACACCTACGCCATTGCGATTGACTTTAAGCCATGTCACTCAGTCCCCGACCACTGGTTACGATAGCTGCGCGGACCCCAACCTAGTAGTCTGCATCTACCAACATGGCTGGGACCAGAAATTAGTGACTTTGTGGACTAGTGCCACGTTTTGGTTTGGCTTCCCCCAACAGTAGTCAGCATTGCGCACCGTCGTAGTCGGCGGTTGGGCGTGAGTAATACGTGGCCCAACCATCTCAGTCGATGAAGATTTATATTGACATCCCATTAGGGTAGCTTGGTAACAATATATAACATAAGAGTGATTCGAGACCAGTTAAACTGTGCTTCAGTAACTGCGACTGAAACCCACCGATTCTTCTTAACCTTTTGGTAGATATCATTGCTGTTTGGATATCACACCAATACATATCGAAGTGAACACCACATTTTGACGATTGACTAACTGCTTCTCTAGTTATTCCTGAAATATAGGATATGGTTTTTTCGTGTGTATTGTCAAACAGATTTTGAGGGCCTCTATGCCATATGTTTCACTTTGTGAGTCAACTTAGTGCTTGTTAATAATAGACGGTTTCCTAAGCATAGTGAGAGTAGACGATTGCCGTTGTCTGTTCGCCGAGTTGGGATACAGGAAGACTTACCTAAGTGTCTTTGACTTTGGTTTAGACTACCTACTCAGACATTAAAATCCCCTGCTACAATTACGTCTGAGGATTGGGCATTTTTCAGGATAACATGATTTTTAAAAAAATTCGTCCTTTACTTCCACTAAACTGTAGAGATTAGGAGTATGAGCAGAGCCGAAGATTGTGGTGTGGTAACTTGGGCCAACATACAGTTATGTCACGCTATATGTTGATTACGATTGGTAGACTGTAGGGTTCACATTTATCAATTATGCTCAAAAATTGAGAAATGTATTAATTTCAGAATGTTACAAATATATTTACTTCAAAAGAAGCGATTCAAATATACATACGTTTTATTCATAGTCTAGTTAACATGGAAATGAAAAAAAAATTAATGAAAGATAGCAATATATATGCCATTTCTCATCAATTATTTTTTCATGCAGTTTAATTTTACATATAGAAATATGAGAACGGATTTAGGACGATTCAATATGCCACTGCTTGATCCATTCACAGATTTGAGAAATATTTTTTTCTAAGTCTTCAGGAGTATTATTAATTAGTTCATGTACTTTGTCTATACTATACGATTCACGAGCCTCGTCCAGAATAACCTAAAAATGTTATATATATATATATATATATATATATATATATATATATATATATATATATACAGAGAAGGATAATAAAAATCGAAAGGAATATATGGTAGTAGTTATATAAAAATGGGAAAAACTTATTTATATCAATATTCAGTCAGTCAGTCAGTAACAACGTAGAACTTCGTACGTACGTACATCAGTTCGAGTTGCCACACCACATTTGCACAGAGATGCAGTTGTCGATTCAAATCCCGTAGTGCTAGATGTAGTAAAATTATAAGCTGTAATCAGAAAAATCAGGGTTTGAAGATGTTATTCAAGGAGTATAATCCAGTGAAATAAATTTGGAAAGAGAAAAAAGGGACATGAAGAATTCAGAAGATTAGAATTTGGCAGAACACAAAGAGTGGATGCACCTGCGCCATTGCAAACGATTTTGAGCCATGTCATTCAGGGTCTCTAACCATCGGTTGCTATCATCTCGCCGTCCCCAACCAGGTTAGTCTACACCTACCAATATGACTCAGTCTACTTGTTAGTGACTTCATGGACTTGTGCCATGTTTTGGTCTGGCCGCCCCTAGCTTTCTTCCAATCTACTCCTATACAACAAAACATCGCACATCGAGGCAGTCGGTCGTTAGGCATACGTAACACATGTCCCAGCCATCTCAACTGATGAAGTTTCACCACTTCATCAATTGATTTGCAATCCTCACCTAGTACCCGTTTCCTGACAACTGTGTTACGTACTCGATAGTCCCAGGATATACGAGCAATATTTCGAAGACACCTATGATCGAATACTAGTACCCTACGGATATCCTCTACTCTTACCAGCCATGTTTCACTGCCATAAAGTAGAACGGAACGAACTGCTGAGCAGTAAACCCATCCTTTGGTTGATAGACGGATATCTCGCCTACGCCATAAATGACGCAAGTTGGTAAAAGCTAGTTGAGCCTTCTGTATCCGTGCTGAGATTTCGTCACACACCAGACCACAAGGGCTGATGAGACTTCCAAGTAAAGTGAAGTGATCGACACGCTCAATTACTTCACTCCCTATTATTAGTTCGGGTGTCGATGCAACCCAATCCTGAAGCAACATTTTACATTTCGAGGGGGAGAATCGCATCCCGAACATGCTTGCATTGTTGCTTAGAGTGGCCATAAGACTGCATTTTGTCAGCGTCTTCACCAAATAAAACTATGTTGTCGGCATATTCCAAGTCAACAAGTGAGTTTCCTGGTAGAAGTTCAACCCTTGGAAATTTAGATGAGGAAAGTGTTATCTCTAAAAGTACGTCGACGACAAAGTTGAACAAGAATGGGGAGAGTGGGCAGCCCTGACGAACACTACTTGAGGTAATCAATTCTGATGACAGTTCGCCATAAACTCTCACTCGACCAGTTGTGTTCGAGTAGAGAGCCTTTACAAGATTAATGTACTTCTTTGGTACTCCTTTCAGTGACAAACACTGCCATAGAACCTTACGATTGACAGAGTCGAATGCCACCTTAAGGTCGAGAAATACTACCATTGTGTGGCGTCTGGACGAGTGTTTGTGTTCTAGAACCTGACGTAGTGTGAATATCTGATCTATACAACCACGTCCAGGTCGAAAACCAGCCTGATTTTCTCTAGTCCGCTCTTCACGAGCTTTAGTTAGGCGTCGAAGTATTATTGAAGCTAATATTTTAGACACTATATTTGTCAAACTGATTCCTCTGTGATTGTCACAAGAAGACTTTTGTCCTTTCTTATAGACTGGCACAATCAGTGATTGAGACCAGTCAGATGGGATTACGTCCAGTTCCCAAATTCTACCTAAGACCTCGGTTAATCTCACTGCTAATAGTGGACCATCATCCTTGAAAATCTCAGGAGTAAACCTGTCAGGGCCTGCCGCTCTCCCTCGCTTCAGATTTCCTATGGCTTTTTCAACTTCGTAAAGAGACGGAGGACTTACATTAACTTGCCATTCAGGTTGACTGGAGATCATGGGAAGCCGAAGTCAGGCTGAAGGCCAGTTGAACTGATCCCTAAAGTGTTCTGCCCATCGATCCAATCTCCTGGATTGAGAATGTATAATATGTCCATCTTTCTCTGAGAGTGTTTCGCTAACAGTCGGTTTCTTAATACCGGTTTCATTGACAAGTCTGAACAATTGTCTGCTATTACCTATTGCCGCTGCCTTTTCCATCTCTCTTGCTTTCGCTACCCACCACTGCTCACGATCATTGCGTAGGTTTCTTATCAGCATGTGCTTAAGCTTATTCCGCTCTTCGTCATGTTCAGAGCCAGGTGGAATGAGTTTCCGAGCATCTATCAGTGCGATAGATGCTGCTGAGATCCAGTGTTTCTCCCTAACCTTGTGGTTTACCTTACTAGCAGATATCACTGCTATTTCCACAGCTTTTCGGATATCATTCCATGCTGCCTCAGGGTGGGCATCACATACATGGCTGCCTAACTGTTTTCCTAGTTGTTCCTGAAATATACTCTTAGTAGAGCCCTAAGAGGTTTACTTGCAGCGTCTTTCCTACGTCCAGTAAGACGCAGGCAAATGCACGCACGTACTAGAGCATGATCTGAATTTAAGCATGTGCTCCAGAATGAGCGACAGTCTTCTATCGAGCCCCTCCATCGGTGGCTGATAGCGATGTGATCTATTTGGGTCCAACGTTGGGACGAGTTAGGGGGTCGCCATGTTAAAAGATGTTTTTTCCTTACGCTTAAAGTTAGTATTTGCAAGGAACAGGAGGTTATCTGAGCATAGCTGCAACAGACGGTCACCATTATCTGTTCTTTGAGTCACGACACCATAATATCCACCCAGGTGTCTTTCCCTATCGCTTAGTTTACCTATTTGAGCATTAAAGTCACCGGCCATTATTACTACATCCGAGAGCCTAGCTTTTCGGGGAAGGTCGGAGAGCTTTCTGTAAAATTCATCTTTTACATCATCTGAGCTGCAGTCAGTGGGAGAATAGGCAGAGACGACGAAGAGGCAACGACGAGTGTCCCAACCTTTTCGGATCCTTATTGTTCTGTTTAGTTGGGCAGCGCACAAACGACTGTCTACTGGGATACACTCTAAGAGAGCTAGTTCTGACCTAGGACTCAATGCTATACCTACGCCGGCGAGGCCACGGGAAGCAGAATCAGGGATTCCAGATACACGAAGTGTGAATCAAGTCGGTTCTTTATTTTGGCATGGTGAGGTCAAGTGAATGACGCTACTCGGATCCTGTATGCGTGTTTGGGAGACGCAGCACACATCGATGGCGCGAGATTCTAAAGTTCTAGCCAAGGAAGCCTGTTGTCCTATTTGGCACAGTGTTCGGACGTTATAAGCTCCAACATGAATTTTGTAGCGTGGTTTTAGGAGACCAGGAATAACGTTCCGCGTACTCGAATCGTTTGCCCTAGCGATGCGAGGTGATAAAGAGACGTGAGAAGAGTTATTCGTGGAGATAAGATATTTATTTGGAGGTGTAGGAAGGATTTGAGTGTGACTGACTCGGTGTCGTGTGGTGTTACGGGTATGAGGGCTGGTGTCACTTTCCGGCTGCCCACACTGTGGAAGGGTATTTCTTGAGGAACCTGAAAAAGAAGTCGGATTGGTGTTGGTCTTAACGACCTGGGAGCGTGACCGCAGAGCCCAAGGGACAACTGCTTGAGGCCGGTCGCGCACGGCCTTTTCGTGAAAGATTCTTGACGTGTTAGCTCCGTTCTACATAGGGCCTTACTGCCGGAGACGGGAATCCGTGAGGTAAGGTGACGTGTGACATTTTTATGGTCGACCTTTTCTAACTCCACTCCTCCTTGTGGGAAGGCAGCATCGCGGCAGATGCGGGTTGTCTGAGGGAAACACCTTACTGCTGTCACAGCTCTCTACAGTCAGCAGTACAACTTCGCCCTCAGACCTTGAGTTGCTGCCTTTAGTCTTACCGTTCTCTAATCGACCTGCCTGACATGGTAGAACCTACAGGAACATATGTTCCAGCCAATATAGCTCGGTTGGTTCATCACAATAGGCAAGCTCGACCACCGCGTCAAGGTAGCAGCTTCGGTCGGGTTATATCAATATTACTTTTATTACTAAATATATTAGTCATAAGATAACTGAAAACAATTAAGGGAGCTTTTTACTACCTGTACACAAAGACTAGATGTTCAATTTCATTTCAAAGGAACTCAACAATTATTTTGTATGTTTTAGGCAGAGATGAGTGGCGGCTAACAGTGAAATCCAGGATATACCTTTCGGCTTGATCAGAAGTCGTCAGATAGATGTACCTGCATCGCAAAGTTAATGTTCACTCCGGGACTCGAACGCATTAATTTTCGCTTCAAATGCTATCGCGTTATCCACTTAGCTGTTGAGTCCAGATAGCCACTGGCTTGTGTAACCCACATAGGATGCACATATGTCAAGACACACTGATCGGTTGCAGCCCTATTTATTTTTTATTTTTCTATTTAAACACATAAACATTGGTACAAGGAGGCACCAACTAGATATGCGCTACATAAATCACCCGATTTGTGTGAAGGCTGTGATACTGTCCGGGTGCCCAAACCGAAGCAGGTGGTTTCCTTAGGGGGCCACTACCCGAGCCTTTGACCTAAAGGTCTGACCCACAAGGCAGTGGAGCATTGTAAGGAGATGCAGTCTCATGGTAGCCGGTGACCAACGATTGGTTCATACGCCATTTGCTCCCGCAGGATACTGGAACCCATGTGCACCATTGGTTTGGAACCCGGTTAAAGCGACGGACATTCGCTTTTCGTCCTCTCGATTTCGTAAACAACACCCTCGCCACGAGAAGGCAGTGAGTAGGACTTCTATGGCAGAGGCTGTATACGTGTGGCCGTGTGAGTATTTCGAGAGGGAGGGCGGGCCCACCCCACTCTCGGCCATACCAGGGCATTTGGGGGCGTTGCAGTCCTAAACATCAATGTGAAGATTCAGGCAACGATTATATACGAATTACTTAGTGCACTTTATATTATTTCACATTACGTTAAATTGTTTTCCAAAAAAACTTTCCAACAAAATTCCTAAGAATTGATAAAACCATGTCATCATTTAATCTTATTTTCTTCCTAAATAATCTAAAATAAATTTTGGACGTTGCTTTAGTGTACTTTACAATATAATACTGATGTTCTCACCTGTTAGATTTGGATAAAACGTCAGACAGATTACAACTTGAAACTTAGATGAGTTTTATTTTATCCCTCATCAATTTTACCTTATTGATTGGTATTCAGTTATTTTCTCTGCTGATTTGATGTATGAAAACTTGAAAACGGATGATGAATATGTGTTCGATGCAGCCACGACCAGGTTCAAAGCCGGCCTAATTTTCTCGTGTTTGCAGTTCATGAGTCTTAGTTAGGCATTCGATAATTATTGAGGCCAGTATTTTGGGTGCTATATTAGTCAAACTAATCCCTTTATGGTTATCACAGGATGATTTTGACCGCTTCTTATATATTGGGACAATTAGTGATTGCAACCAATCAGATGGGATTACGTCCAACTCCGAGATTTTAGCTAAGAAATGAGTCAACCTAATCGCCAAAATTGGACCACCATACTTAAAGACCTCTGGAGCCAATCTATCTGAACAAGCTACTCTTCCTCATTTCAGATTAGCTATAGCCTTTCGAACTTCAGCTAGAGTCGGGAGACCTATTTCAATGCTCCATTCACACTGTCTGGGAATGGTGGGTAGTTGTAGAGTAGCTGAAGGCCAGCTGAACTGCTCCTGAAAGTGTTCCACCCATTGTTCTAAACGGAGCAACAATGAGTTCATACGCCATGTGCTCTCTCAGGAATCTGGAACCCATGTGTACCATTGGTTTGGAATCAGGATTTTCCAACTCCCCTAGATAAACCCTCCGTGTCCATCAATCCGATTAAAGCGCTGGACATTTGTTTTTCTCACTCAGGGAAGTCCTACTCTCACTGTCTTCTCGCAGAGGCGGTGTTGTTTACGAAGTCAAGAGTGAGAAAAGCAAATGTCCGACGCTCTAATCGGGTTGATGGACACGGAGGGTTCATCTAGGGGAGTTGGAAAACCCTGATTCCAAACCAATGGCACATATGGGTTCCAGATTCCTGAAAGCACATGGCGTATGAACTCATTGTTGCTCCACTACCTTGTGGATTAGACCTTCAGGTCAAAGGCTCGAGGTGTGGCCCCTTAAGAAAACCACCTACTTTGGTTTGGGCACCCGAGCAGTATCACATCCCTCACACAAATCAATAACTACTACTGGCGTATATGATGCCCCTTCGTACCAATATTTTTGTGTTCAAATGATAAACAAATGAATATATCATATACAACACTAGATAATTCATTTACACAAATGTGATCAGTTAGCTAAACGTTGTTAGCGATTTGGAAGTCGGAGCGAAATTTCCTTTCAAGTGGTATATAGAGACATTACTCTTTAGGTGGTGGGGTGTAGGATGTTTTAACCATTCGTTCAAGTTTAGGAATACTGAAATTAGAAGCGAAATTCTTCAAATTATACCTCCTTTATTTCAAATTACTTTCAGATAATCAGCCCATAACGACTAAAAGTGGCTTAAACCCAACGAATATCCAGATATCAAGTCAGATAGAACTTTTCCTACATAGCCTAGGTGACTATGTTTTACTGACTCTTCAGATAGAAAGAAATGAATATTGTCAATGACCATTGTACAATACTGACCGATAGGATATTTAATACCATCTCCATAGTAAGACATCATAATCTGGGTATAATCTCTCTCAAACACGGACTGTTTCTTACCAAGCTTTTTTAGAGTAATCATGGCTATGTCAATATGTAAAAAGAGAATACTCAACTTTAGACATCAATAGGAATAAAATTAGAAACAAACCTGGACAATTTCACAATGAATAAGGTCTGAGACCTTTTCGCTGGAGTAATTACGAGAAGTGAGACGGGGATAGAGAACGGTGTTGTCCGTTCGCAACACAAACACGGCATCAAACCATCGTTCAGGAAAGAATTCACAGGAATGATAGTCAACAATCTACAAGGGAGTAAATGTGATAAAAAAACAGCCACACCTGACCACCCGATGACATAGCATCTTCTAATTCATCCAGGATTCTGTCTTCATCCAGGATATGACACTGATTAGCTTCATCATATCCATCATATAGTTCTTCTTCCTTGGCAACGTCATTGATGCTGATATAATTAAGTGAACTACGTCTAGATACTTCTTTAGAGATAGTTGTTTTACCGGTGCCAGGTGTGCCCGTTATTAGAATGTTTGGTAAAGTTGCAGTGGACATTTTATAGATAAAAATGTAGAATGTACTATTAAAGAAGGTCCAAACGTGTTCGAAGAAGATTCTCTTGATCGGACAGACGGTCAATGATACAAGTAAGCTGAATGACCTTATTAGATGTTGAAGATATAACAGAATCCTGATTGATGGTGTGGCTGATAGCAGAAGATAGAAGCTCAGAAGAATGTGAAGTTTTTATAATATTTTGAATAAGATTTTGTATAGCTGAGACTGTTTTTAGAGTTTTGTTTTGTAGTTGCGAAGCGGCTTTTTCGTTCCAATTGCTTTTGTTGGACATCAAATTTACGAGTGAATTATGGAACTCAGTTCATAAAAATGAACCTCATATAACTGGGAAACAAAGTTACACCAAACTATAACATGAATTAAAGAACAGTAAACTGCCAGTAGTTTCAAGTTTCTTTAAATGTATCACCATGAAACGTTCATCTTATAGTGAAATCAAAGCCTACTACTTATTTACTAACGTTCATAAGGGATTTTAAAAAAGTATACTATATATTACTATGACTAGTGATTGTTAACCAAAGATAATTCGACAAAAATAAAACATGTGCATGGTAGAAATAGTTTTTGGAGACCAGTAATGGTTTTGGTTGACCCTAATTGTTAGCAACACTTACGGTTACCTGAACTGTTAATGATTGCAAGATGGAACTTATTGGTTGCTTACGGAAACACCCGAAGAACAAATAGGGCTCGAATAATAACACCCCGGAGCCTAGGGAATATATACTTAAAGTTGGTCATATGCAACTTTTCTGGTGGTAGTTGGAGGGCTTCATCTATTAATTGATATAACATTGTGATAGTTTGGAGTCAAAACAACGGGTCAGAAGCATTCATGCTTTAACTCGCTTTAAATCCTAAGTTTCGAAATTACTTCACACTTTTTAATTAATAGAACCATTTACTCTTCCCGGATCATCTTTTCTACTACCAATCATACTACTATTTTTACTACTTTGGTACGCATTCTGATAATTGAACCTTGGTGATTTGGTGCGGCGTTGGGCCGACGTACATAGTGCCAAGTTCTATTTATAAACAACTGATTAACTATTGGCTACGACTACACATACAACTTCCCTTAAAAAATCATTGCATAATTGCTTTGGCTTAGGTGTGGCACGCAATATTTGCGTTAAGAATTACGAAAATGAAATGATCACCGTAATCTGAGTTAAATGATCATCAGAGAACGCAACACCCTCGAAGTCCTAAATGGGCTTAAAGCAAATCAATAAGATCAGTGAAATTGATCCCAGGCTACAGAAGGGCCTTGAACTTTTCATTGTAAAACCATGAGTTATGCTTTCAACTTGTCTGCACACCGGAAAAGACTAAAATGCGACTGAAGAAACGTTATGTTAAAACCTATCTTTGAAGCAGCAATAAGCATGGTCCTGAAAACTGCCGTTTTGTAAGTTTAACTACGAAACTGTCAATATTTTGGAGGTATTCACAAAACGTTGTTCAAGTATAGACATGGAAACCCGATACATTTTGGGAACCTGTATAGTCTAAAGACAGAATACTCATGACTTACCAGTATTCAGGTGGCTCGGTGCAGTTAATAACCTACGAGATCATATATAATATAGAAGTTCTTATTAATTTTAGCAAGATCCTCATCAGTCTCACATACCTGATTCCTGTCTAAGTTATATGACGTACGGATCAATGTCAATCTACTTCTGTGGATAAATAATCTTCTAGTTGAACTCCCATAGAGAGAACGGACTAATTTCAATATATCTAATAAGAGGTTATCGGTAGAGCTTCCCAGGTCAGTCTGTCATTAAAATACGCTCTGGTAAGAATGTGAATCGATCCAAACTGTCAGACTCATATCACAACAGCAAGAGGAGACTTGTACTATGCGAAGTAAAAAAAGGAGTCCTTTACAACTCAGATAGAGGAAATGGGGGAATGAATAATTGGGGAAGATATGACTAACACAGCTATGTCAATTAAAACTGTTTAGAGTTCAGTATTGGGAATAGTGCAATTTCTACCAATTAGAACCGGGATATGTGAATACATATGAGTATATTCAGCCAGGGGCCAGGAACCAAGCTGTGACGTGTTGAGACATTTTTTACAAACCGCGTTATCACTTACGAGAACTCACACAGTGCTTTGATGAAACAGTAAACCCAGTGAATGCTTTTGAGACTAGAATTCATCTTCTGAGAACATGGAATTGATCTCTTGCACTGACAGACAGCTAGCCTTTATTTTCATAACTTAGTGGTGATGACCCATGGATTTCAAGTTTATGCAACGCATGCTTGGGATTTACATTGATTAATATTCACTTATACTACCTAACTTAATCGGTGCGATCTTTTCGAAAATCACTGTTGCCATCTGATAACAATTCTTTTCTGGATTTAGCATTTTATCATTAAGTGGCCAGAAATACCGCTTTTGGTCCTATTACGGCGGTTCATAAGTGATACAATAAATTCAAATTCCATGATTTTAGGGTTTTCCAAAAAGTCCAATGACAGTTTGCAGTGTTCCCCAAATTTTGGGAGGTTTTGAGCCACTTCCCCGAAATTGAGAGATTAGGAGTCAACCCAATTTGACCAGTTTTGGGGAAGCCGCCGTAGAAACTTTTGGAGAAATGGCACCAAAACCAATTTTGGGTTTTCCCCCAAACATTCCCCCCAACATGGGAGACTGGGTTGATTACAGAATGATATATCGCTTTACGTTTCTGGTCTTAACAGCCTTCAATAAATTTGCAACTGATGATAGGGTATTTCTGTCAACCATCATAACTTCCCAGACTTATTGTTGAACATAATGTACACCTAGGAGTTTGCGAAGTTGATGTCTGATCATGCGATACAGATTGGCAGCAGCTCAAATGAAAATACCTCTATGTTACAAGGAATGGGAATGAAGCCATACAAAAGTAAACGGCTTGGTAAGAAATAAAACATCACCAAAAAGGAATTACGACAGACAACCTACTATGCGAAATAACGGGCAACGCTCCTAACGTGGGATACAGTAACGAGAAACGTAAACTACCGCCAAATTCTTCATCATTAGGTATCGGGGGAGGAGTGTCTTTTATTTATTCACAGAGCTTTTAGTGTCCTGATGGTGCAGTTTATTTCCGGATTTATTAACATGTTCTGATTAAATGTTTTTCTTTTACGTACCTAAAACTTTACAGCTCATTGGAGAAGTTGGCTTTTAGGACCTTATGGATATGTTCTCTCAAAATATCAGTATTAGGCAGAGGAAATATAGGAAATTTGGGCGGCGGTTAACTACATTGATATATATATATATAACTGTCCACAATTTCTTCAATGTTGTACCACCCAGCGGATGCATGCGTCAATGTTGTGGCTGCAAATAAATAGTTCTGAGACCTTCCACATTGGTACTGACCTCATTTGTTCTACTGAAAACACCCTAGATGAAGGCGATCGGTCAGGCATTGGTACCAAATTATGAGTGGGTTCGCCGTGCTACGTGTCCCTTGCAACTACTAGGCAGCTTAGATCAAATACTTTTCAACACATCAATGACCTTCCGAATATATCTTTGAACCCATCTATTTTTGACCTGTAACTCCACTGGGCTGGTATCCTTTGATTATGAAGGTGTTACGGACAAAGGTGATGTGAAACCTCAAACATGTGTGGCATTTTTAATGAATGGTCCTCCACAATTTCTACAATCTCTGTAACCCGTAATAGAGAGAGGTTTTCAATGCTGAATATTTTTCTGCTGGCCTACGGAGTGTTTTAAGATATTTAGGGGTTTAATTTGATTATACTTTATCATTTGTGTTTTACCAATCTTAGGGATATGGTTATAGGCTTGTACGTGCTATTTGTACGAACTAATGATTACTTTGTACTGTAGAGCCAGCGAAATGTCACTAAGCCCTAGCCAAATCATCCGGCAGTTGGGTCATTGAATATCGAGCAAGGTCAGGGGCAAACAACGTGTATCAGTTAATCGTATGCCATGGACTAGCCCATGCGGCAGTGGTCTCACTTTCGCTTGTGTCTACTTTAACTAATATATTTCTGTATTAACGTCCTCTGTGTTGTACAGTCTTCAAAGCATCTATGGTACATTGATACATCAATGGGGTAGTCCACGTAAAGCGCTGACCACGAGGTGTGACTTCGACGTTAGCTAGTTTGTCACACCATTCACATCTAACTCTAGTAGGCCTCCAATAATTTCGATATAGATCATCTATGTTGGTGATCTACAGTACCTAATCTCCCTCTGATTACGAATTCAAAGTATAATACGTTCATCTGTGCTTATCTAGCTCTACCTGTCTTAAATTGCGTTACCTCGGGGATTTTTAGGTAGTACATAAATTTAAATGCTTCTGACCACCATTCTGGCATTGCGATGGAGTCAAATATTTGGCAGTTGCATCTTGATTTCATTGAGGATGACTCTGAAGACTACATGGAAATGTTCGAATTCTGGTACATGACTAGAAAAGACGTTAAGTATGATGAATTCACAGCTTATTTCCTGACGTTCATTGGCAAGGAATCGTATGACCTTGTGGAGATAGGCCTGACAACCTTATTTTGTAAGTAGTTTTCAATGTTATTTGTATTTTATCAGAATGTGTTTTGTGGAGATTTTTAGAAATTTTCACAGATTGAACTCATGAGTCAGTTGAAGCTAGACCACCATTGAAAACCTGGAAGCACTGGACGGCCGTTTCGTCCTAGTATGGGACTCCTCAGCAGTGCGCATCCACGACCCCGCACCACACGGGGTCAACCTTCCACTGTATGTATATTTAACATTAAATAACTGTAACTGTTGTTGTAAATGACCTTGAACACACTTTCCGTTGTGATTCTAACATAGCGTGACATATTCTTGCTGGCTAACAAATACATTACTACTCACACATCCCTCGTTCTATTTTCGTTTGTGATTGAGCTAGCTGAAGTCTAAATCAAATATTATCA